GAACACCTACACGGCATGAAGGATTGTAAGCCTGCTTTATGAACTGCTTAACTTAATCTCTAACCTAAGTAAATTAGACGATGTAAAACTAATTAAATAATAGTTAAAATGGGTAACTGCTTGTTGTTACATTTTTGTTGCGTGCCATATATCGTACTCGGTAGTCTATTTTCATATATGCTTTGTTAGCGGACATTTCTTGGTCATTCGTGCACGTAACAGATGGTAAGTGTTCAAACGATTTTTCAATAAGAGACATCCTGTCGTTGACATATTTCTTAAAATCTTCTTGGATGCTGTTCAGAGTTGCTGTAATATTTCCATCATCAGTACCCTCGGATGAATTGGCATGGCCGCCATTCCGTTCAGCTTTAACTTCGTCTCGTTGTTCACGTAGTTTAGAAAAAATTTCTTGAATCTTATCTTTTAATTTGCCATTTTTCAGTTTCAATGAATGGACTGTTTCTTTTACCATTTTGGTCAAGGTTTCAGCAATTTTGAGTCTAAAAAGCTAGTCAAGAGTGAAGAGCTTCGAACTAAGCGTCCTACCTGTTGCGCACACATGCGCAGCTACAAGGACTTAGATAAAAGGACTAAGATGCTACTTCTAAAGAAATGTAATTACTGCCACGTCGGACTCGCTTTAGGAACTAAATTACAAGGTGTAAATGTTGAATTCGGCCACCATTATAAATGACCATGCTTGTGACGTTCTCGACTGAACCTTGTGGTAATTCTGTAAGTTCCGTCGTTCTCACTTCGTGTTCAAATTCGTAGGGCCCTAAAAATTCGATGAAATGGCTCTTAGCAGAAATGATACCATGATCTTTTCTAGTAGACAATCTGCTTTTGTGCCTCTCAAATGCCGAGGTTTCTCCAATTCTGTACAAGCTTACGACGAAATTGACATATTCCCGAGATCACCAAGGTCGCCGCATGCATAATTCTCTGAAAGACCGCTGGTCATGAGACTTGTGCGCGCGCATTAAGGCCGGCGACTTACGGGGCAGTATACGCGCCGATCCTCCCTTTTCACTTTTCAGACCTTTTAAGCTTGTTATGAACTATGTCCGTACCTTTTTTGACACTTTCAGTGTCATCATTATTGCCTTTTATCCGAAATATCTACTAGGTAGAGTTACTCTCTTGTCAATTAACTTCAATTTTTTTGTGCACACTAAACAGTTAAATCTTGCGTGTTTCAACATTAAACACTAAAAATAACCGCCAAACAACACTAAACACTAAACCTCATCCAGAGCCTCAGTGAAATGTCGCATGACAAAAAGGCTTTGGTTACAGTCTCTTAACTCCTTCATTTGTATTTCGATATTTGAAGCCCAAGCTACCAGAGCCTTCCTCTCTACCACGGGCGAAATATGGGGATTTGATGGAAATGGACGTGCGCCTTCTACACCTAAAAATCTGAAACCTAACCTGTCCTCGCTTCTGAGTTGGTTCCTTTTCGTCGTATGAGTTTTCTGAGCTGATTTAGGGCCGTTGAGCTCAGTTTTAGCCCATCTACTTTACCCTTAACACAGATCTCCGCCATTTCAGAACAGGCTAACAAAGGCCGGACACCCCAGCACCATCAAGTTTCCGGGGGGAAGGGGTGTGGGGAGGGGTCGTGGTATGCTGCTTTACTCTATTCTTTTTTCAATTTTTTTACGAGATAGCAATATACCTTAAACTCTTTAGTGAGCGATAAACCACACTTTTTTAGTTTACCGGTTAATAAACCATGCACGATGTTGGGAGGACTCGAGAAGTGCGCCTTGTGGTTTACAAACTTTTCGAGTTTCGAAATCTTTGGCGAGGTGTGTAGAATTTATGACCACAGGACAAAATGTCTGCCCATTTTATAAGTTAAACTCTCGAACGCGGGGATTATCATTCCACTTATATTTAATTTTCTTGAATTTTGGCTATCAGTTTTCGAAAAGAAACCTATTGCAAGAGACGAGAGTCGCATCAATCAATCCCATGAGGAGTGCGCAAAAGAGGAAAGCGAAAGAAAAGAATGCGGTTTAGTTTCCTTTTACATGACTTTCACTTAAAAGTTTGTTCTTTAAAAATCAAGGACTATGGAACATGAAGAAATCAGATTTTGAATCGTTTCGCGCGGCTATTTTGTTGCTCCGCTTTTCGGCTGCATTTTTTGTCGTGTTCTAGGAAGGCATACCTTCAACTATTTTTTGCGGTCTGTTGTGCAAATGTAGTAAAGTGGCGTAAAAAGGAAGTGTCGTATTATGATGCGAAACCCTCAACGAAAAACACCCCCTGATACTTAAGTACCAATTGTCATGATTCTCATTACTACACACGCAGGGGTAAAAGAGGCGACTAACTCAAGACTTCACCTTTACAAAATCGACTGGGAGAGCGGAATAGGAAACCCAGTAGCAGGGATATACCCACGAGGAAGAAACACAACATTACGAGAGTTGTGTTACTGCTGTCCGTTGAAGCAGACAATCGAAATGCGCTACTGAATCACAGCTGTTCAATTTCTCATGAAGCAAAGACATAACTCACGCAAAGACCCGTCAGGTCACTGTCCACCAGTTTTCATACCAATCCGTGGAGACTGCCGTGAGCCCCGAGTTAAACAGCGGACTTTGCAGAATACGACTTCCTTACCAGACTTATTCGCCAACCGCGTCCAGTTTGAATTTATTGCGGTCAACATACTCAAAAGTAAAATACATTAACCTGCGAAAGAGATGCTGCAATTTCATAGGCACACTGGTTCTCGCAGTTATTGCAATTTCTATATGGAGATATTTGAAGGACAGGTCACAGTAAGCGCGCTTTGAACGCTTAAATCTGTATGCGTAACGTCTATCCCCTATACCTTTATCATCCTGTACCACACCCCAGGACCACACACTACTATCGGAAGGCGCTTTAACGCCTTGAATTCCTGCTTATACATCCGAAAGAAACTAAAAAATGTAAGGGGCACGTTTTGCAAATAAATTATGAAGAAAACTCAACTGGCGCGGTTTTAAAAAGGTTAGGGATAGAGTGGCGGGGAAAATCGTTACACCGAAGTCCTATCCTAAAAGATTCCACTAAGTTTACATTCATTAGAGCTGTTTCAAACAGAGTCAACTGATTCTCGTTCAGATCCACAAAATATTCCACTTTAACTTTCTCGATAAGAGAAACTATACGAGGGTTTACCAGTTATTACCTGACAAGGTCATAAAATAGTATTACATTGAGAATTTAGAGTCTTGAAAGACAAGTTTCCTCTCTCGAAACGTATTTTTCAAAACAGTTCAAATGGATTGCATTCTACTGCAAACACTGAAAAGCTTTCCACAAATTATGCATTCAAATCAATCAGTGATAGCACAAAAGAAGTGACCAGAACCACACCAGTTCGTCTTACGTTAATCCCAACGACCTTTCGAGCTATGCTCCCCTCCTGTTGAGGACTGTTAAACGTACAGAGCACTGTCCTGGCTTTTTACTTATTAATTAATACATACCTCGTCCAAAAATATCGAGCTCTCTTGGACCTGCCGTGGGAGATTCAGGTTCTCCTCGATTTTCTCCAGAGTGTTCAGGCTCTCTTAGATCTGCTACAACTGTCTGATCTGGCTGATCAGGCCCCCTCTCACCTGAAAGAATCAAAATTTTTTGAGATTTCTGCATAAAGAAAGCGATGAAATCAATGAACCACAACGGTGTCACAACGGTTTCATTCGCTCCGACGAAGGGCTAACGCTTGAAACGTCAGCTCTTGTAATCGTTACGGTGGCCAATTTACTATTTCAACTTTGTTGATATATCCAAATTATTTCGTTACTCCCACCGACGCAGCCCCAAACAGTTTCTTTCGAAACTATCAGCCTTTACTCACAACGGTTTCAGTTTGGAACCTCCCTCCCACCCGATTTGGACCCCCCTCCCCCATGAACACCCGCCGGTTCAAATCAGCTTTGATTTTGGACAAGGAATTCCTCAATAGTCATGAGTTATCAAAGCAAACAGATTCTTCTTGGAAGTATTTCCATTTAATGACGGTCGTCTTTATGGCTTGTCATTAGAAAAACAAATATGTTTTTGTTCGCAAACTATAGTGCTCGATCGACTATTACCATACCTAAACAATAATCTAACAACAATTAAAAAAACAATCCCCTTCTTAATAAAATGTTCAATAAAACAAAACATCAATAAGATTAACATTTCGCCTTGTGCCCCGCGCGTAATGGGTTGCTCGTGGTTTTTTTTTTGGAGTCTACATTCTAATTAGCAGTCGCTCTGAAAACGGTTCCAAGAAGCCATTTTCAAATCAAAGAACCAAATGCTCGCGCATTTTGCTTTAGTCGTGAGCAACCCGCGAGGAGTCACTTCCAGTTACCAGGTCGTGCGTGAGTGCAATGGCAAACAGACTTAAAAACCAAGTATTCGTTGAATTTGATTCTATCACCTTGTACTTTCCATATTTCCCACCAATATTGTCAAAACGTTTTATTCCAGCAGACTTGAAACTCACGAAAGCGCATCTGAGCTAAATTTGCATTGGCGCTTTGGTACAAGTTTACATTTCGATAGCTATAGATGGTTGGTACCTTCTGGTAAAAGAAAATCATTCGCGTTAGGTTTGCAAAGCGCGGCGATACGCGACAGGACACTGACAGTAATAACTCTACTTCTGCTATCTGTTGTGAATTATAATATAAACTTTGCTGCCCGCTAGTGTTTTATATCACTCGCATATCAATTTGTGAAACCACCACTAAATTAGGCAAAAGTTTGTTTTCATCAATCATAATTATCTAAGAATTCTGTGTCCACAATCAGAGAGCCTTGAATAGGAGTTTGCAAACAAAAGAATTACATGATGGAGAGAAAACTAAAAACATAAGTTTTACTGGGATGGGGGAGGGGGGGGTGTGGACGGGTCTAAATCAGCTAAAGGGGTCCATTACCGCTACCGGAGTTCGACTTAGGGTCATAGTGGAAACAACTGGAAAACCAAACACCAAGCAATGTAAATGGTGGGGTTTTCCCCAAGGAATCCCACCCATTTAAGGCATAATAGATTAAATGGATGAGCTACCTCTAAGACAGCCCCCTTAAACTCTTCCAACACATATCCCACTCGTTGCCCTCGCATGACTGGTATAAATGCCAATTTAAGGCGTTTTCTCAAGTAAACCTAAAAAAGAGGGGGTTTTGTCAATTCAGAAAGGATGTACTGAACATTGATTTGAAAACATTGCGACAACAAAATATAAACGCAAGATCACGCATTGCACTGAAAGGAGTATGGGCTCAGACCTGAGTCAGAGGATAACATTATGTGAATAAGAATAAATGCATGCAATATCATGAATTGCAATGAAGTAAGTATGGGCCAGACTTAAGTACGAGAAAATACCTGTATCAAGGATGACTGCACTTCATTGCCATAGGTGGTTCGTGCTTACTAATACTATTTCTGTATCAGCCCTGTAGCTTTGTTTCAATGCATTCTGATTATGTATCGTTAATTACACTTTACTTAATAGTATTGGAAGAACTCCTTAAGGGAAAACTATAGTAAATAATCGACAAAGGTGGGCCTGGAAAATGTTCTGAGTCAATTCAATCTCTGAGTTACAATGGAAAATATCAGGAATGGTTGACTAAATGAAAAAAGAAACTGTTACAAAAGTTGACTATTGCATGTTTTGCACACTCAACAAAATCACTAGTAACTTGAGGACCGTTAAGTTAGTCAAGTATTTGGGCCTTAATTTGGTGGAAATAGTTAAAATTTCTGGAATTAGCATCCTGAATTTTGTCTCGTATAGATTGTGCTAAAGTGGCTGGACAGATTTTGGAAAGTTCAGAGCGCCAAAGTAGAATTTTTTCGTTGAGGTCGTGACATTTTTGGCACATAGCTCCGATGGTGATTCTTATGTTATGTGAAAAAGAGATTTGGGCACATTGAGAAGAACGTGCATGGAATAGGAAAATGACTTGGTGACCGTTTCTAAGAACACCTTCGCGACGTAGAAAGAAATAACAAAGACGTACCCAAACTAGTTACTTTAATCACCCTTGTTATTCTAAGCAGCATATGGCAGTTTGTAGCCTTTCCTTACGTCTAAGCAGTTAAAAAAAAAGCACAAAAACTCTGAACAAAAATGTATCTTACAAGTCGACCCTCTTAATCCCCACAGTATTAACAAACACTTTGTATTCAACTAATTCATTCTTGTTTTTCTCGTCACCATGTTCTCACCGATTGCGTAGCTTCATTTTCTGCTTACAAACACAAGCAAACAACCAAAAAATTCCTCCATTCACTCTTAAAAAAGGCTAAAGCTCAAAACATCAGCTTTGAAACTCTTTACGGTGGCCAATTCACATTATCAACTCAAATAATAAAACCAAATTGTCTCGTTATACTCCCCCACTGCAAAGCACCACAGTTTCTTTAGAAACTTATTCCCTTTACTGTTTGTATATTCACTGATCAGAGGGTTTGTTTCAGGGCAGGTACAAGATTTTGCATTAATTTTTTATGGTTTCTACATATTTTGTCTTTGTTAATGATGATCAATCATTTTCTTCTTTGTGGAGAAGTGCAACAACAAAGGAAAGCAGACGATCAAATTATAACAGAATAATACATGCCCAAATGGCCTGTACATCTAATGAAGTTCACTCTCCTCTTTGTAATCAAATTTTGCATTTTTAGTGTTGTTGGAGCATAAATTGCCTGTTGGCACCATTACCTCCACCTGTTTTGCCAGTGGATCCTTGCACACAACACCTAAATATACCGCAACAAACCTCTGAAAATGCAAAAAAAAAAAGAAAGGTGATTGAGGATGTTAAAACTAACTTAAAAGTAAATTTAAATCTGCCAATGGATGTGAGTTTCCTAGCTTCATCCGAGAACCATACAGTTGAGGGCTAAGAACTTTTATTTTGTTTGTTTAAAGAGTCTTTATTTTGTCTCAGCAATGAATTTGTAAAAAAGTAACATGAAAAATGAAAACAAAAACAAAAAAAACAAGCTTACACACAGTAACATAGATCTTTGGCCTACAGCCTTAGAGTGGACCTGCAGATATTATTTTGCACTTGTCCAATGAAGAATAGAGTTTAATCCTTGCAAAGAGGGATAGGAACTTTGAATTAGTGGATTAGAACTTCTTACACTAAACAGTTCAAAATGTAGGTGACAACATAACTTAAATCACAGAGCTCAACTGCTATCAAGAATAACACTACTCAAAAAAGAACTGCAATGTTGTTGACTGTAAAAGCAAGAGATTATATTTTTGGCTCTGCATCAGTCTGTTAAGTTATGCAACTCTTCATTTAAGGTTTTTTTGATAAAATTCAAATTATTATGAGAGAAAAAGATGTTTGTATCATCAGCAAAAGGATTGAAGTCTTAAACCTTTGAGACAACACACATATCATTAACTTGAAGGTAAATTAGAAAGAGCAGGAGACCAAGAATGGAGCCCTGAGGGACACTACACATGTTATTTGAATAAAATGAATTAAATCCATTAAACTGGATGAAAAGTTGTCTATTATCTGAATAGTCTTTAAGCCAGTTAAATGCAACACCACAAATAGTTTTTCTTTTTTTTCTTTGTTCTTTTTGTTCACTCCTTTTTATTTTACTTGGGTGAAAAATTTTCCACTCAGGTCACTGGAGTATATTGATGTTTTTGGACTCTTAGCCTATTAGAGATGACCATGGTTAAGTTACTTATAAATGCATGTCCAGGATAAAGAATCACAAAAGTCATTATACTAACAAAATGCATAAAAAATTAATGATTTTCAAATTTTCTGCAAACTTGCTAGACTAAATACTTTTTCATCCCCTCAGTAAAAATAACACTTTAACAAGGTCACAGTTGTCCCTCAAATAATAGGGCACTTTCTTATCTGAGACATTACATTTATCTAACTGGATGTGGTTGTGGTGCATCAGTTTGTCAGGTTCACTTATTTTACCTTGATACAAACAAATCAATTTGATTCATAATTATATGACTTGTGATCAGCCTCTGGCATTATTATTAGTTTAATGTTCAGAAAAGTAAAAAAGGAAAAACACACATTCATAGAAGACAGCACATAGCATGATGCTATACCATCACTTTAAGATTTTGGGAGAAGAGCAAACAAAACCCAAAATTTGCGAGATTTTTCCTTTAGCTACAGAGCTCATACCACATCACCAAACAAAACATTTTTTACACATAAGTCACCTCTTTTCTAACACAATTTCACCATATTTTCCTGAATGCTAGCTATGTAACCTTTTATCACCCTCAGAGAGTAATCTCAAGGCCAATTAAGCCATTTCAGAACTTAGTTGTAAGAGTTGCAGCCAAATTATGTCTTAATCTTTGATGAGACTTGTGAAGGGGAACACAAGTTCAGAGTAACCTTACATGAGGTTACTGGAAACAAAATAGGGTGCCCATCAAAAAAATCTCCCTCTACCAGCAACTTAAAAAGAAACTGTGAAAAACTATACCTCACTGTAAGGCTTATAAAGTATACAGGGCTCAACACTAACGGTTGCCAACTAGCCACAGACTAGCAGAAATTCAGTTTTGGCAAGTGTCAGGTTTTCAATTTCCAATATCCAATTTGGCTGGTAAACAAACTGAAATTGTTGTAACATCTAAGATGTCACGACTAGTCACTTTGCTAGTAAATTGAAAATTTAGCGTCACGCCCTCATATAGCAAAGGTTTTGACAGTTTTTGTTTTGGTGGACATGTGCAAGCCTATATAGAGACAAAACTGACATTGTTTAACTGTCAAATTGCCAGCCTTAGCCTTACTAGGAAAATCCAAACAAACTGGATCATATCAATCAGCAGATGGTAGTGACGAGATTAGGTAAAAAAATCCATCCTCATTCTTCAACTCACTGACAGATTACAAGCCAACCCTAGCTACTGTTGTGACCGATCCCGTCGGTAAATTATAACAATTGCCATGGATTATATGTCAAACCACAACGTTTTTAATTCTGCTTGCACGATACCTGATTTCTTATACAACCAGGCCTTTCAAGTCTCCCAAAGGGGGAAGAGTCTGGGTCCTGATAAACTACAGCTACCTTACCCTATCCGTTCAACTAAGACCTGCAAATGAATATATACATACGTGTACACACACACACATATATATATATATATAGGAAGTCTGTGTTTTGCTTTTTCCGTATCACAGTGCTCAATACATAAAAGTAGAGCACAATATATGTTGAGTTAGAAAAATACAATGTCTTGGCTTTAATCCCTACAAGCTTGTTTCATGATTGCTCACTCATCTGGGGATTTACAAGAATATTCGTAACCATCATTGATATACTATAAAACTTTGCATAAGTGGCGTGGTAATGAGTTGAAGTGCTTAATGTGCAGTAATGCTTTGTTTCTGTAGCAGCACAAGGACACAAGTTCATTAAGTTTATTGAGTGATGATAATTCAGGTAAGCAGATGACGAGTAGGTTTTTTTTTAGGTAGAGGTTGCATCTTTTACCTGCACTGTTGTTGGGTGATCTTGATGAAAGGATGCATCATGAAATAAAGTGGTCAATGTAACTTTCTTTAAGAGTCCAGATATGTTTGCTGAGTTTGGTAGAGTTTCTGTGTTTTACGTGTCGCAATGATGCAATATGGTTTCTGTATCTAGTTTTACAGTCATTTTCGGTGAGTCTGATGTATGTTTCAGTAGGATTGTTATCCTTACATGTGATGGTGGCTGTATGCCTTAAGTTAACTTAAGAAGTCAGGGCTTCCTCATCCTGACCTAGTACAAATATATTGCTCATTAATTAGATCTATTATTGAATATGCATCACCTGTGTAGGCAGCTCTGCCTGACTATCTATTGGATTTCATTGAAGCTGTTCAGAGGAGGGTATTGAGGATTATCTTCCCAGATAATGGTTATAGGAAATCCTTAGCTTTGTCTGCCCTCCCTACCCCAAGTCAGCACTGCGATCTTGCCTGCATCAGGTTTGTTAAAGACCTTACTAATACTGAACCTTTAGGGTCTATTTGCATGGAGGAAATAGTTCCTTATGGTTACAATCTTTGCTCAGGGGATAGCCTCCTTGTAGAGAGACCCAGAGTTAGGACATATAGATTTCCAGCTTTCTGTACCAATAGATTTTTCCCCCTAAGGGCCAACCCTTAAAGGGAATATTTCTGATAACTTTTTGAATACAAAGAAATTGTTGTGTATGTTGTTGAAATATTATTCATTAAATGTCCTTTATATTATTTATACATGAGAAATTGTTGAAATTTTATCAGTGTTATTTATATCAATTGTTATCTCATGTGTAATTTTCTGACCCACGCTGTAATTCAGCTCTGCCTGCAAGTGTTGATTAAACATATCTAGCATATAGATACATACAGATGATCAGATGATACCTTACATACGAATTTTGTAACCACAAATCAAACATGCTGAAGAACAAAAGAACTTGTGAATTGGCAATTCATTTCAATGACTGTAAACACGAAATTTCTCAAATCAATTCCATTATTATTGAACAAATTAGGTCTTTTGAAAATGCCACACACCTTGAACGATTATTACTCACAAGGGAGGCCTATTGGACCGCGCAGTTATTTACCCTTAATCCTCATGGTCTCAACAAACAGCGGGAATCTAGATCCAAACACCGCATTCATTACTACAATTGAGCAGCTGCCATTTTCCCAATATTACACATTTCAATGTATTTCATTCCATTATCACTAATAATTAAGTTAGATTCTTCTTTTTACCTTTTTATTGTTCTACTTATCTCAGTTTGTAATTTAGACCTTTATTGTACTACGTTACCTCAATATTTCTGAATTGTATATAAGCCGCTCACAATCATTGTAAACTGCTTTTTAGTTTTTAGTTTTTAACTTTTAACCTGAGGAAGGCTGAACGGCCAAAACGTCGCCCATTAAACTAGTCCAGAACAGTTAAGAGTTGGTCTCTTTGTTGCGTCGACCTTACTGTACACTTAACTATAATTATATATATATATATAATTTATTTCAAACATATGCAGATGCACAATAATGAATATGCCAGTAATGACCAAACAATAACTGCATGCTTCTAACAGTATTTTGCTACATCTTCCCTTTGTTACAATTAAGTTATCGATCCTAAGACAATGTTCAGCCTGATCAGGACATATTAAAGTCTTTAAAATGTCAAGAGCTGATAATAAGACAAGAGACTAAAACATGGTGTGAGGCTTTTTTGCATATCCCTGTTGGTTCCTGAGAAAATCTATTTCAAAGTTGTGCAATAGAAAATACTTTGATTGTTGTTGCACCAGGAAGTCAAATATTTCGAATTTTATTAAAGCCCCATACTGTTCTATGCATTAATATCTGACAAATATTCTGGCTAAGTTTCATCAAAATTCGATAAAAATACACACCCTTTGAGTGTTTAAGTAGAGGTAACTCAGGTAATAACAAACATCTATTTTTGGTCTCCAAGGAAATTCACAGGTTTTTGCACCTTACTTAAGCATGTCAATGCAGTCAATGCAAGGCAACATTGAACTCCCTAACATTAGTCTAATGACGAACAGAAGAGGAGAGAGGAGAGAAGTATAAAAGAAGAAGAGGAGAGAGTAAAAAATCATACTTTTTCACCTCATAAGAATATTCCACCTTTTAATGAAGTCCAAAATAAGTCATCGGGAAGAGCAAAGAGTAGGGTCAGAGTTTTTTGCTTCCTCAAACAGAAGAAGGGCCATTGTAATGGGCCAATGTTGAC